AAGAGGCAGGGAGGACTAAGGGCAAAGGCCCTCCTCTAGCCCTCCTGTCATCACAAAGCCACGCCTCAGCAGGAGGTCCCTCCCATCTGGGCTCCGAGGCCTCAGCTGAAGAACTCTAGGGATGGGTCTCCATTCTGAAGAACCCTGCTGCACTCTTAGAAGGTGGCTGCGGAAGCCTGCACTGGTCTGAGAAGTCCAACTAACTCACAGCCAGCAAAAAGGCCCGTGATGACTAATCTAGGCTTGTTCTGACTTTCTCCTCTGGTCCTATTGATTGGCTGATGGCTTTCGGAGGCCCACAGAAGGACAAGCAGCGGCTTTAGGGAAAAGATCCTTGGTGGCTTTGGCTGGAGCAGAAATGCAGGCCATGTCCAGAGCTCCTTGAGGCCGCCTCACAACCAGCTGGGGATCACTGGCTGATGCCTGGACGGCCTGCCTGCAGTTCAGCAGTGCAGACTGGGCTACGGCAGTGAGGCTTGGCAAGGCTGCAGGAGCAACCAAGCTCTCGGCTCTGTCTTGCTCGCTAGCAGTCGAGGAATGGAAAGCAGAGCTCTGGAGACAAGATTTGTTCTTCCACCCCCAGCTTAGCACCTCTCAACCCACACAATCCAGTGAGACCCAAACAGCCTTGCTCCCACCTACAAGCCCACAAGCCTGTCGCTTCTTGCCTACTCTCCAACTTCATCCACTTTCCTACGAGGGCAGACCTCATACAGAGCTGTTGGGCAGTTAATACTGGGGTCCATTTCCAAGACTGTGTATATGGAAGGCAAATGTTTTCCGTGGACTGACCGAGCAAGCTTTAAAGGAAGATGACCAGAGCCTCGAGGTCCATTTGGTGAGCCTTCACCATGCCAGGCTCCCTTCACCCTCATCCCAGCCCTCTAAGATGGGGGCTTGCTGTACTTCCAACATGCAGACTGAAAAACAAGTCTTTGGCGAGGGCTGAGTTTGCTTCTTGCATCTTCTCTTTCACCCTGTGGGTCTCTTGGGTGCTAAAGTTTCGGCTCAGTACTTTGTTTCACACAACACAAACCAGATATCATGTCCAAGAAGAACACTGTCTCTCAGGATGGGTCACACCCCAGAAGACACTAGGCCCTATTGAAGATTTAATTTAAAAAAAAAAAAATTTAAAGCAAACAGTGCCACCCAGAAGGCATAGGCTAAGCCCTCCTTTGAGTCCCACAGCTCAGCAGCCCCTTGCTCCTCTAGACACCCACTGCCATTACAAAAGTCAAAGAAGCAGTATCAGGTGCTCTCCCCATCTTAAAACACTTTCCAGGACTCCTTTACTTACAATGCATGGATCTTCTGATCCAGTTGCCAAGGAATTTCAGGGAACCCTCTACATGCCAAATTGTCTCTGCCTCCCCAGGAGCTTAAAATCAAGTCAGAAAGATAACCGACAAGTGAAAGATCACAGTGTAAATGAACCATTAAAAGCACAGCACACCCTGAGAATTCAGGCTCCAGGAAGCAGGACTTCTGTTTGCCTGGCACTGTAATATTCCTAGAGAAGAGCAGTGTGAGACCCACACAAGACAGCGAATCGTCTTATACTGAGCATAAGCATGCCATCCAGAATGCTGGCCCAAGGACCCTGGAGCTACTCTCCATCAAACTCAGCACCGTGTTAGCCAATTTTCTGTGGTAACTCCCTTGTCATTACAATCCCTATATCACCATAAGGCAAACTTCATTATTCCCATTTTTCCCAATAAGAAAAAAAATGTACAAAGAGCTAATCTCAAGATCACTAAGCACCCAAGCAAATGTGTCCCACTGGATAATCCGTATTCCTAGCCAGTATGTACAGGCTGACAAGAGAGAGCTTTCTAGAGTGTGGGTAGAAGTCAAAGAACAGATATGGGAAAATCAAGGCAGAAGCATGTGCTCTGACTGCAGAAGATGACCAAGGCAGGGCCTTATGAATCCCAGGTTGGCTTTGAACTCACTATGAAGCCAAAGATGACCTTGAACTTTAGACTGTCCTGTTTCAACCTCCAAGTGGATTACAGATATGTGTTATCTTGTGGTACTGAGAACTGAACCTAGAGCTTCATGCATGCTAGGCTAAAACCAAGTGAGCCTTTACCAAGTCTTTCCACAGTTACTGAAGTTCTACTTTGACGTGCCCAACTCCAAGCAAAGTACTAAGAACCCAAGAGTACATTTAAGGAGGGCCATCCTTGCATTGTTCAAGGGACAGCAGCCAGTCCCTAGAAGTTTTACATTTGGACTAATCCCAGAACCTCTGAGTTACAGAGAGTGAGCTAGGTGGGGAGCCGCGGAGAAGTGCAGCAGCTCTCAAGTTCACACATCTTCCAAACCAGCGGAGTGAGAATTGAGTGTCTGCTAAAGCTACTCTACAAAGCACTTCATGAAACCACACCACCCACCCAAACTTCCAGCCCCATGAGCTGCTAGTGAATGATTAAGAAGCAAATTCCTTTCCCCAAGCAGAGGGTCATGCCTCTCAACATTCTCAAAAGGAAGGGCCTCACCCTACCACCCTTTCATTCCCCTCATGGCCAGGAGTAAACCATTTTAATCTTGGCAATAAATATTGACTGAGCACCAATTATCTACAAGGTACCGCTGTATGTTCTTGGCATGGAAGGGCGATCAATAAATTCTATTGGAAACAGGCAAAAATAAAAATTACAAATAAAAAAAAAAAGCTTTCAAAGAGTGGTGAGTGGTGAGAACTGTTCAAAAATGAAAAGGATGATGAGCGAGAGTAAGGGAGGGAGGACTTACCTGAGCCAAGTCCTTACTGATGAGAAGGCTATTTGGGAAGACCACATCCTCAGCCAGGTAGTAAAATTGGCGGTCAGCAAGAACAAAGCCCTAAGGCAGAGATGGGCTTGCTATGTCTGAAGTACATGAAGTTAAGGGACAGGCGTTCAGGCACAGAGAGGAGACAAAATGAGCATGTGGAGAGAAAGGGGTGCAGCGGATGTGGTTGTTAGGTCACCGGAATACTGGTAGTGTTAGGTGGATGAGATGGCACTGGGGTGTTGAAGCAATAGAGTATCATGAACTAATTTTTGCTTTAAGGGTTCACTTTGAACTTCATCAAAACGGAGACAGGTTGGGCCTCACTTTGTACAGGCTGGTCATCCACAGACCTGGCAGATAAGCAGGACACATCCCTAGTATTTGTACTTTTAAGAATGTTCTTTCAATAAGTAAGACCACTTTAAAAAAAAAGATCCCAAATTACCTTTGCTTTTTTGTTCATTTCCCCCATGAACGAAGGTGAAAAATAAGGTTCCTATGTCAGTGGTTCAAAAAATCTCACAACTTATAAACAAGTCCTAAAGGAAGACATGAGTCAGGTTTCATGAAGGCAGCATGAATGCCATCCCCACGACATTTAGATCCTGGCATCAAACTAACACTCTAAGACCATGAGAAGCAGCAAGCCATGGTCAGAGTGAGGGGCCTACTGACCCCAGAGATGTCTAATGCCATCACATAGGCCAGATCCCAGACAGTGATCCAGAAGCCCAAACAGTAAAGAGTGGTCAGCTAGACAGCCAACCGCTACACTCCAGGCACCAAGAAAACACTATCTCCACATCCAACACAACACAGACAGTCCACGTGAGGCTATATTTGTGGCAATACTCTGCCAAAAATCTGGGCTAATCTGACTCTGCTATTCATAAATTCCCCCTCATGTTAAAGCACATGTGTTTGGGAAGGGAAAATGAACCCAAGTCTAGTTTAGACGCTGTTACTTGGAAACCATCTGGAGTCCCTGAAAGCGTGAGAAGCCACACATCCCCTGCCCTGAAATGCCCACTGTAACTAGGGCAGTGTGCTCCCATGGAGTTGAGCTGTCCTCTATTCCCCAGGGAAGTCCCCACCCCCACCCTGCCAGGTGCCAGTTCAAGCTCCACTTCCCACCCAAGAAAGGTATTTGGTTTCTCAACCAACCTGGCTGAGAGCACTCCATGTGTGAAGCACGCACTTGAATTGCACCCAAGGCTGGCCTCCTCTCTCTCTGATTGCTTAAAACTGCAAACCTGAATTCCTTTGACAACCACACAAAAATCCTTGCCCAGGCACAGAGAATACGTGAAAAATCCCCTCTGCCTAACAAGCCTGTGTTTCGAGAATGTCTAGCTTTAGAAGCGACCCACCAGGATCCTTATGTAACCTTAATAGATCTTGGCACCCCGCAGATCCGCTCCTAGAGACACTGGCCCAGATCTAGTCCATGTTCACCAAGATGAGGGCAGTCTGGGTCCTGCAGATTCCAGGGCCCGAGCTGTTCCGGACTGTGAGGGAGGGGAGACTGCCCCCATCCCCTACCTGGCTGCGAGCCTCTGACCCTCTCATCTTCCAAGGGAGCTGGACCTCGCTTTCGGCACCCTCCCTCCCTCCACTGAAATCAGTCTTGGGACTGAGCCCACAGTAGCGCCATGCCACCAGCACCTTCTCCCCTCCCCGCCATCCCCTCCCCACCCCCAAACGCTGAAGAAAAGCCTCCAGGAAAGTGATCCAGCATCTCAGACAGTCACAGTCCCTGAAAACAAACAGGGCTCACGGGGGAAACCGGGGTATCGAGCAGGCCCAACGCTACCCCAGGACCCTAAGCCACCCTGAACTGGGCGCAGGGAGGAAGGGATCTCCAGAGGCAGCCTGCGACTCCGCAGCCACCAGCTCCATCAGAGCAAACACCTGTTTCCAGGAAGAACACGGCCAGAGGAAGAGGGAGTTCCGAGGAAAAGCAGGGAGGGTGAGGTGAAGGGCCAGCTGGGGACGCAGGTGAAGGATGCGTCACTCTCTAAGCTGGGCAACCCAAGCCTAGACCGGCGGGCGGGAAGCGAACAGGGGTCTGGGTCGGGAGAGGAGAGGTCAAGCCTGCTCGTCCGCGCGGACCCAGGAGGGGCACAGAAGCTCCAGGCCGGGCAGCTCCATCACCTGCGCCCGGCAGATGCAGCCCCGCGGGCGTGCCGGCCCCGGGTGGCCAGCAGGTGACCTACCTGCCCACCGTCTGGTTGGCCAGCTGGCGCATGCGGTTAAACTGCTTCTTCATCGTGGCCCCGCTGCCGCGCTAGCCCGGGAGCTGGGGAAGAACGGAGCTGCCCCGAGCCCGCCGCAGGGTTACATGGCTCCCGCGCCCAGCCTCCCGGGCGACGGCGGCGGCACTGCGGAGCCTGGGGAGCCGCCTGGCCCGCGCCCAGCCTCCCGAGAGCACCTCCGCCTATTCCGCCCACCGCATCCTTCTCAGTGACACGCCCGGGGCCGCCCTCGGCGTCCGCCGGTCCGCCCGGGCTGCAGCTCCAAGCCCCAGCCCGGCGAGCGAACCGGGGAGTCTCCGCAGGCTGGCTCGGCTAGCCAGCTGGCCGGGTGGTCCCCATGCGCCTGTGCGGGATGCGCCGTGCATGCTGGGATTTGTAGTTCGCCGCTCCCACCTTTTCTCTGTCCAAAGTTTGCAAGGACAGCTTTAGCACCGAGGTGGAAGACGGCAGTGCTGCCAAGGCGGTTAGGCTTTAGCCTTCTAGTAAAGGAAATATCTTCGTGCTTAAAAGGTGAAACCAAGGATACAACAGCAAACAGAGTGAGCGTCTGGCTCCTATTACATCTCAAGTGAATGTGAGGCGTTTCCGTGCTGAATTTCTCAGGAAGATGTGCTAGAGGGATGTGCTGATATATGAGATTGAATCGGTGACATCTTCTCTATTGGCCCAAAATGAGACAGCCTTCTTGTATGATTTAGATGCCGGTCTCATAGCTATGTTCTTCTTTCCACCACCAGACTTGAATGGGCATCAGCTGGACGGCCCACTGGCATCCACCAGCTTGTAATTGTGGCCCTTAGAAAGTGGCTGGTGAGGACAGCAAAATGGCTCAGCAGGTAAAGATGTTTGTCACTAAGCCTGATGACCTGTATTCAATCTCCAGGACCTACATGGTAGGAGAAATGTAACTCCTGCAAGTTCCCTTACAAACACATGGATGGATAGATAGATAGATAGATAGATAGATAGATAGATAGATAGATAGATAGAGGTAAGGAAAAGAAAAATGGCAGGTGATCCCTGTTAGTTGTCATCATTTTGTATCAAGTAAAGTCAGGGTTGTTGGGCAGCTGGGACTCTGGGTGAAACAAATATGAGTTCCCACTAGAATTTCACACACCTGGTAAACCGCTTTAGGGAAACTGCTGGGCCCTTTTCAGTGCCAGTCTCCCCATCTCTAATTGAGAACACTGCTCTTTGGTAGGTGGAAATAAAACAGTACTGTTTTCCAAATCCAGTTACATACAAACTACCATGTAGTCAGCTGTGATGGGTACAATGAAAGTTAGCCTAAGGGGAAAATCCAGGGAAATTCCTATTCTGAAAAATGGAATCGCATCTATGACCCGAGGTCTTTTTCAATATGTTGATTACAGTAGAAAGATGTCCTAAATATGGATCTAAGTATCTCCCTGGCCAGCTAAACAAAAGATGGTTTGAGGCATGTTTTGGCTGAATGAACATGAAATCTTTAATTAACTGTGAATTCAGCCTCTGCTTATTAGGTCAAGAGTTCTAGCCAATTATCCAGTCAAGGCATCCTTTGCTTTAAACTGACTGGATGTGGCTATAATGTCAACATCATATTTATAGAAACAAATTATTTCTACTTTGAATATTTAAAAAAAAAACATGACCATGGTGGTTAATAATGATTATCCATTCAACAGGATCTGAAATCACCAGAGAAACAAGCCTATGGCATGACTGTAAGAGAGTGTTTTGGGTAACAGAGTTAGGAAGAGCACCATTCTCTGGGCGGAGGTTCCAGGCTGAATAAAAAGAAGAGAGTAAGCTAAGGATTATCATCCATCTCTCTTTTCCTCCTGACAGCCAATGTGATGTGACTAGCTGCCTTGAGGGCCTACTGCCATGACTTCTTGGCCATGATGGAATGTACCCTCAAATTATGAGTCCAAATTAACTCAAGTTGCTTTTGTCAGAGTATTTCCTCATAGTGACAGGAAAAGTCACCAACGCCCTAATAAAGCATGGCTTTGTGTCTATCAATGACAGAGAGACGTTACAAACACTGACTTTAAATGACATAGTTCTTCGTCATATTTACAACTGTATTATTCAGTACAGTGGCCCCTGGATTTGTGTGGCTGTTGGAATTTCAATAAATAAAAGAAGGAATTTAGTGTCTCAATCACCTAGCCATATTAAACATGCATCTTCTGCTTTTTGTCCTAGAGAAAGTATGATAACACACACAAACAAAGAGAAAAAAATGATGTCAAGTTTGTGCTTCTGATCTTTCAAGCCAGACTTTAGAAGCACATGGAAGAAAATGGAGCTTTTAAAGAAAAGAGTTTGGATTTCAAGAACATGAGCTCTCGTGCTTTCGTGAAGACTATAATATCCTGCTTTGTAAAGAATTCACCTGCTTCTGGGGTGCTGAAGATGGTGATTCAGGAGAGGAAACTAAGACAGTAAAAGGGGAGCAGATGATATTCAAAGAGGTTCTATCATTACCCAAAAATAAATTAAATGTTACCTATCCCTCTAGAAGGGATTATGACTTATTGAGGTCATGATTATTTGGGTGATTTTTTTGTGGAAAAAGAAATATATACAGTATATCATTCCTCCTCCTTTTTCCTACATCATAAAAGCAACCATGGATTCGTTACAGGGACTGTGGTGCAGGGTGGCAGCCATCTAGCTGGAGTAAGAAGGGCTTTGGTCGGTTTATACCAGAGGTCTGGGTTCTTCACTGCCCCACCATTGGCTCTCTGGGGGATATGTCTGGGAAAGCGGCCTGTGCTGGCCCCTTCTGTGGCCCATGCCAGGCAAATTAATAGTGAAGCTTTCTACCAAAAAGAGCAGGAAGTGCCTCTCACGGTGTCTCGCAGCACCTAAGTCATATGTAGTGAGGGGTGGCAGTCCCCTGAGGGGCCACAGAGGTTCCATCTTTCCAGAAAAGCTGAAAGAGATGGGTGTGAAACTGCTAAGATAGCAGAGGAGCAGAAAGCACTGCAGCCAAGGTGTGGGATGGCCTGAAATGTAATTTCTGCACCTTAAAAGCGAAGCTCATTTTCAGAAGAAAAAAGGAGGGAAAACAAGAGAGGGGAAAGGAAAAAGAACAGAATTTCTTGTATTCTTGACTTTGACATATGGAGAGATTGCTCTTTCCTGTACATAGCAACTTTTGGCTTGGCCACAGGATTGCTCAGGCCAACAAAGTCATGTATATCTTACTTTCTTCAAAATTGTACTCATGTGAAATAAATTTCACTAGGAATATGACAGCCAAGTTCACAGTCAGTCATTGAGTTAAAATGGCTTTGGTATCTAATTAAATAAACTGTAAGAGTAGTCCCTTGGCTGCTATATTCTATATTTCAAATATCAGAAGAAAAAAAAAGCCACATGCAGTTTTTGAAGATGTGTCTCCCATAGACTTTGTATTTGGACATTTGATCCACACTTGTGGATGCTGTTCAGGAAGGTGACACTTTTAGGAAGCGGGATTTTGCTGGAGTATGTCCTTGTCCTGATTCCTGCTCGCTCTCTCTCTCTCTTCCCCTCCCTCCCTCCCTCCCTCCACTCCTTCCTCCTCCTCCTCTTTCTCCTCCTCCTTCTCCTCCTTTCTATGGCAGCATGAAAGCGTGTATTTAGCCAGCTTGCAGCTTGCTGCCCACCATCACGGATGTTATCGCAGAACTGTGTAAGCCAAAGCAAACCTTTTCTGCCCTAAGTTGCTCTTGGCCATGGTGTTTTATCACAGCAACTATAGGGAAACAGCTATAGCAAAGCACACGTGGCTTGTGACTACAGTATTAGGCGGTGCAAAAGGAAACGTGTCCATCACTACAGAAAACTCTACTGAACAATGCTTGTCTAGAAAATCAGATTGGAGAAGAGATCACAGCTCGGGTAGCTGCCAGTCATCCTACTAGGTCTCTCTTCAATACGCTTCATCATTCTTCAGATGGGAATCTGCAGTTCCAAATCTCCACAACAGACATTTTTAATCAGCCATTTCAGCAAGCTATGTAGCTACGCTACAGCTTGTTGTTGTTTTGGTTTTTGTATCAGGATCTCACTATGCAGTGTTGTCTGGCCTAGAACTCGCTCATGTAGACAAGACTGGCCTTGAACTCCCAGTGATCTTCCTGCTTCTGCCTCCTGAGTATTGAGGCTAAAGGTATATGCTACCAGACCCAACTTCACCACGCCAGTTTTTCCACTATCCTTGGATCTATAGCTTTGCCATAGCCTAATCGTGGGCAGGCCTACTAGGAGACTTGTGAGGCCTGTAGAAAACGGGCAGAATTGCCCTGCACCACTCCCCGTTAAACCTTCAGAGACTATACATATTATTTTTCCCACCTGTGTGCTTCCAAGTCTTCCCATAGCCTTGCTATCTACAGGTAATTGCCTGCCTCTCATCTTTATTTGTGTAAGTTTCAACAAAGAGTTTTATTTGTTGATGTAAAGGAAAAAACACCTCAGAAAAGAGTAGCCCACTGGTAGGTAATTTGGTAAAGACTGACAGTGTGAATGCTGTGAGGTGGCCACACTGTCGCTCACACCTCTGGGTCCATCTCTTTTCTTGGCAGAGAAAGGAACCTCCTTGATATTCTCCCTCAGCAGAAGGTTACCACTTATATAAATAAAATAAATAAATAAAACTTATTTATTTTTTTATATTTCACCTGGTAATTATATAATGAAAATTTGGTGCATATACACAACGGAATGATATTTGGCTACATGTAACACAATTTATTTTTGTAACAAAATACTTAAAGAACTCCCTCCTTGCTGTTCCCACTTCAGATATGTACTTTAAAAGTACAAAAAAAATAGAATATTGAAGAATATATGTGTCATTATAGGTTCCTGGGTTCTATACTTAGATGCTTCAGACAGATGCTTTAATTTGAAGTCCATTGCTTTCCAAAATGTTTAAAAGAAGAGTTGAACAATTAGGACAACTAAAACGATGGAGTAAATTGTCATCTTGTTGATTATAAACCTGCAGGCACACAACAATGTCTGAGTCTCAAACACAGAATATATACTTATACATATACATACACATATACATATGCATACACACATGCGCACGCGCGCACGCACACACACACACACACACACACACACACACACGTGACAGGCTGGAGTGCTGGTGAAGGTGCAGAGAGAAGAATCATAAGAACATTTTGGTGTCATTTCCATCTAACTAGCCAGGATGCCACTGACCTAGCCACTTCAGCTATAATGGCACCAGTGTGTTTTATGAAATTGCTACAAGTTAACAAGAGTTACAGCTGTCATCTTTCCGTCCAGTGCTGAGAGAGCATTT